AAAAAAAAAAAAGAACTCTCACGTCTTCCTTTCTGCTGAACCCTATAGAATTCAGAGATACCTTTTTTCCTCTTTCCTTTCTACATTAGTCACAATTCCTTTCACAATCTGGCTGCTACTGTCCTATTAGGCCCTTGCATTTTGAAAGAGATGGAACCCTTCCTTTATGCCACTACAGATATTATTTATTATATATGTTTATGTATATAAAGTTAAATACATGGTGGGAAAGGGGCTTCTAAAGATCATATAGGAATCTTGCAATAACAGTGCTCTATAAGTAGATCCATGGATAGGCAGGCAGGCTGATAGGTGTGGGAAGGAGAGTATACCCATAAGTATACACAGATTTGACAGGGGATATTGGTACATGAGCATTTACCTTTGCTGACAATATATCCATGAATGTGTCCAAACAAATAAAGAAAAAAATTATGGAAGTTCATGGACATACAAAACATTTTTGAGGGAATCAGTCCATGGGGCCTGGGAGCTCAGGGCCATAGTCTCAAGGAATGTCAAACTCAACTGGCAAAACACAGGCTACTACATGGATGGATTGTTGAATGGAAAACCCATCTGTAAACTTTCACCCAATTCAAAATAAGATGTTAAAAACCAATTGAATCTTTTTTTTAAGCTTATTAAAAAATCCCTTGCTTTTCCATTTTACCACAAACTCTTTGAAGCCCCTTGAAATACGGTATTAATAAGTACATTACTAAACCAGAACTGTCCTAAATAAACTTGAAGCGAATGGCTCTTCCTCAGGCCTTAAAGCCCCTGGGCCCCTACTTACCTTCTCTACACTCGCATTTCTTCTACCACTAACTTTTCTCTATTTTACACTTCATACACATACAGGAATCAGTAGTTTTCCACATGCCTTCTCTCTTGCCTTGGCTTTGAGCTTCTTTAGACTCAACATTATGCCTGAAATACGCACTACTCATCTACCCCTTTAACTCATCTGGTTCGGAGAGGTTTCATTTCCTCTAAGCCACCTATTGTGGCCTCCAAAAGACTGGGCTCACTGATTCTCAAGTAGGGGCTCTCATGGCATTTCATTGATGGACACTTCCAACATACTTACAGTTGTGTGCTGTTTACCTGTGTTCCCAATTAGACTGCTAGTTAAAGACAGAACCAACCTCATTCACATTATATTCCTAAAACCCAAGCAGTATCATAACCCAGTGAGCACACATAAAACTCACAGGACTGAATAAGTGTGTTTATCCAAATTTTATCCCACCAGAACTTCTGAGATTCATGAAGACAAAAAAAGTGTGGCCTCAGCATTTAACATGGTAAAACAACAACAAAGCAATCAAGCCCATGGCGATCAAACTGGTTCCAACTCAAAATGACCCTATATTTGGTGCTGTAGATCTATACTAATTATTTGATGAACAGGCTCATCTGAAAAT